AAAAAGGAATTTAAAAAAAAAAAAAAAAAAACTTCCGTCGTAAAGAAACCTATTTTCAGAATGCAGATACGCTACTTCAGAGCTCTGGGATCGAACAGTGTCGTTTCCCCCTCCGGCCATCGTCGTGGACTATGTCGGTTGTCCCCCTTCGTCGAGGTGACGAGACGTTGTGGTTACTGTCTTGCACATGGATGCGCTCTCAGGAAAGCCAGGGTTCCGAGGGGCAGCTCCACACCATTTCACGTATTTTGTAACCCGACTCCTAGCACTGAAGATGTTATTAAAAAACAAACGAAAAAAAATAAAGAAAAAAAAGAAAAAAGAGGAAAAAAAAACACAAAGAAGAAAAATACCTAATCTCTAATGTGTAGCAGTTACATATTTACCAAATAATGGACTCAAAAGAAATAGATGTTTGAAGAGTGCTTTATATATTAAAAATTGCTTTATGTTTTAAAAATGATCAATGTTTTGATTGTTTTGCAAGAAAGAAAGACAATGGAGTAACATACCCTCAAGTATGTTTTAAAAAATATATGAACATTGTGCTCCCTGCCTGCTTGATCAGGAAACCTGTGCATTACGTTTTTTTTTTTTAATTAGCTTTTTAATGGTTTTATCAAAACAAAACAAACAAACAAAAAAACACAAAAAACCTAAAAAAAAACAAAAAACAAAAAGAAGGTCCTGCAAAATTGCAGATCAACAAAAGCTGGTTTTATAGAGGATCATGAACTATGCACAAACTGGGTTCAAGACTTTTTTTCTCAAGTTTCCTAGTGTATTTAGCTAAACAAACCTCCCTCAGAGTGATCGCATCTCATTGCCATTGCGTGCACTCTCTGTGTTTGACGTATGACCCTTACGTGCATATCAAATATGCGTGCGTGCGTGCGTGTGTGCGTGCACGCGCGTGCACCAGGCGTCCAGCTTCCCAGGCTGCCACTGAGCATTGAGTTGTAGAGAAACTCCTGACATTTTTTAATTGGGGATGGAAGTAAACAATCTGTTTGTTTTTGTTTTTTGTTGGGGTGGCTTTTTTTTTTTTTTGACCTTTTCTTTTGAATTAAAGATGTCTGTAACTCTGCGATTAAGAAACAAGTTCGTGGCTTTTAAATGTTTTTCCTCATAGAATGTGATTGTTGAAGAACATGCACCGGAAGTTGCTTTCAAAAGTACGACGCTTTGTTGAATCTTAATAAATTGCAATTTTTTTCTTGGCTGTTCAAATAAATGTGTTTTTTTGCTTTTAGAAGACAGATATCAACTTTCACTCCATGTATCGGGAGAGGGACTTGTCCTGCTGTATTGTAACACAGTCCTGTCTCTTATGAGTTCGTGTAACTAGATAAACTCCAGGCGTCGGTTGCTTGACTTGTAACTACCGTTTGCTTTGCGGCTTTTCGGTTAACGTTGAGATCCTTTTCGTCATCATCCAGAGGTGCAGCAGGGCCTGTGGGCGCTCCTCCAGCCGCTGCCCGCCTGACTCGGATGGCGGTGGGACACGGTCCTGCCCGGGGACCACTGACGCCTGCCTGGGACCGCGTTCGGGCATCGGGAGCACTCGGAGGGAAGAGAGGGATGGAGGTGTTTCGTGTTTCCTAGACGTTTCAGCCCTTCATTTTCGTCGCATCGCCTCGGCTAACTTTCGCAGAGCACTGTGCGCGAGCAGAGGACTCCGGTGCCGGTAACACAGCTGTGTGGTCACCAGTGTTTCGGGTGGCAGTTAGAAATCAGAACTCGTCAGTGGTTTTCTCGCGTCCACCCCAGGACGCTTCATGACCCTGCATAATAAGCTCAGTGTTGGTGCTTCTGTGTCATCCGGATTATAAAGATAGACCCTGGAAGACAAACCAGAATGTCCTCTGTGGCCCCAAGCTCAGAGACGAGCAGAGTGAGCCTTTTTTTTTTTTTTTGTCTCCACTCCTATGAGTCAGTCCCACGTTTTATCAAGAATTTGGGACGCGGTCGCCCCTCGGGCAAAGCCGTGAACTCCCGGCTCTGACCGAAGCCCACGGAAGGGAGCGCGGAAGGGGCCGCGGTCCTGAGAAGAGCGGAGCGGGGAGACCAGAGGAGGCGCGGGCCTCAGGCCCCGGCCTGGACCCGCAGCAAGTGTCCCTCGGTGCCTGGGTGTCCCGTCACTCCTGGGAGCAGACTGCCAGCCCTGCCCCCGGAGGACCAGACTCTGCCTCAGGAGTGTCCGGTGGAGGAGGCGGCATCTGCCCTGAGCCTGGGAAGCCGGATTGGACCCGACGGCCTGGGGAAGGTGGGGGACGGGTGGGGGCACACAGGGTAAGCCGAGGCCTGAAGTGACTGCCTCACGTGAGGGGGCGTCCGGGAGGGGTCTCATGACCACGAGTAAGAGGGAAACTTGGCGTCTGGAGTCAAGAAAACGACAGGTCAGAGCCATACTTTTTCATTGTTCCTGCAGAGGCGGAGGCAGGGCGCTCAGCGGGCAGCAGCGTGACGCACAGAGAAAGGGCCGCGGCACGGAGGCGAGGCCGGCGGGCGCCGCGTCTGCTGGCAGCTGAGCACGCGTTCCCGAAAAGGGGACGGAGAGAGCAGGGCATCTCAGGAAGCATCTCACGGGAGTCGTGCACTTGGGATGGAGAAAACCCTGCGGAGCTGTCACGATGCAGACGTGCGAATGACTGACGAGCCCGCCCCTGGGGTTTGCAGCAGAAACGCTCGACAGGCTTGCTGGCGTGGGACCGTCGCCTGAACGGCACGTGGAGCCAGCCGGGCCGCCGAGTCTGGCTCTCCAGTCGTGAAGGCCAGACGCACTCCCACGTGCCCCTAAGTGGGCCGCGCTGCCTCGGGCTTAAGTGACACTTCAGATGCTAGCTGCGGCACAGAGCAGTGGTTCCCAGCCCCAGGTGCGTGTGACAATTTCCTGGAGATTTGTTAGGCTCCCAGTGCCCGGGCACGTCCCAGACCAGTTCAGCAGAATCTTGGGGTGGACCTCAGCCGCGAGTTTTTAAATCTCCCCAGTCGGTTATATTGAGCAGCCAAGGTCAAGCAGTGGCACAGAGGGGCCTTGTCACTGGGCTGAAATAGCACTGTCAACTTGCCGTCTATTGGAATTACAATCCCCAAGAGTTCGTTTGGCCATCATGGCTAGTTTTTGGTTTTTGTTTTGTTTTTAGCAAAACTGTGTGCCAGGCTTGGTGCCGAGCACTGCATAGTTGTGTCATTTGCTCCAACAGCCCCATGAGGTTACAGAAGATGCTCGAGGCCACCAGCTCATAAGGGTCAGAACCCTGGCCCACGTGAGTCCACAGCTAAGGCTCAGCCTCCCAGGGCCTCCATCATGGAAGGAACGGGGTGAGATGTTCCAGCCGGAGGATCCCGAGGCCACGCATGCATCAGAAGCAGCGCCTACGGGGGCACAGGTGTGTGCTGGGCACAGGACCGACTGGACGGCAGTGGGGCTGGGAGTCCTCTCCGCAGACCAGGCCCGCAGGCTGCAGCCTCAGGCAGGAGGAGGCGCTGCGGTCTGGAGGCAGAATATCTCCTCCGGAAAACCCAGTTTCCATCTTTCGTATGATTGGATGAGGCCACCCCACATCGTGAGAGATGATCCCCTACAGTCATCTGACTGTAGGTGTTAAACGCACCTACAAAGTGTCTTCACAGCCATGCCCAGATCAGTGCCCGAGGCAGTGACTGACCGTCGCACGAGAAATCTGCAGCGCGTCCCAGGCGGGCCTGTCACTGCTTGTCATAGTGGCTCGTCCTGCCCTCACAGTTATTGCGAGGCAGGTGAAGTGGGCTGATGGTGAGGCCACATCAAAAGGGAAGAGGTCAGTTAGTGTCCATCCATCCAGAAGCACATCTGTGACCGTTTTGAGGAACGCATCTGGATGGGTCTGGCCCAGAGACCCCCCAGGTCAGTTGCGCACTTCCTGGGCTGTCCACCCAACTTCACCCTGCGGCCCTTATGCCCAGAGGCACAGCCCAGAGTGGCCGCCCAGGATCAGTGCCCGCTACTTGCAGAGGTTCCTAAGCACCAGCTGGCTGGGGTCGGCCACAAGCCCAGGGATCCTGATCTGTCGGGCACCAGGTGCCGTCCCCCGACCTGCAGAAGTCGAGTGGATGCAGATGGGCCTCCAGGGCCATGTTAGTGGACGGCATCTGCCCCTGGACGTCTGCCAGACACAAAGCACCCCCCGAGCGCTGTCCTCGAAAAGGGGCGGTTTGGGGTGAGCACGGGCCCAGCCTGGGCACTGCCGATGGCAGCGATGTCTCCACTGCAGGTTCGACCTGGCCCTCCGGAGCTTTGCTCTTCCCAGCTCCCCTCTGAGATGAGGGTGGAGCCACCACCACCACCGTGACCCTCCTTCCCCGACAGAGCCATCAAACACCGGGGCTTCGACAGCCTCACCCCTCCTCCCTGCACCCCTGGGCTCCTCAAACCCGGCCTGTGGGGACCGGGGGTCACTCCCCACTCCCTGGCAGCCACGGGAAGCCGAGCCCGCTCCTGTCCCCCATGGGTGCCGGCTGCCCCTCTGCCTGGCAGGCTCTTCTCCCCGTGGCCCCTTTGCAACTGAAACGTCACCCCCCGTCCCTCCCTAATTTTGCCCTCTCCCCTCCACCCTGCCCCAGTGACCACTAAAGCATCACTGCTGCTGACTTTGTCACCCTGGACATGCCCCTAAGTTGTATGAGGGTGGAGCCATGGTCCCCAGGGCTCCGGGTGGTCCCCAGGGCTCCGGCTAGTCCGGCTGTGTTCAGGCTGGGACATGTTTATCCTGCCATCTAGGGCTCGACCAGCAGAGGGCGCCCTGCACTCAACATGGGAGCCTCAAATTGTCAGCACCGAAACAGCTGGGGCACCCAGGGACGCCCACAGAGCATCTCCGGGGTGCTTGGTGAAGCTGTGGAGTGGCAAGGAGGGGGCCTTGAAGAGCCAGAAGGAGCTGAAGCAGCTGCACATGCAAGAGGCGGAGGCTCCCACGACCTCGGCCCAGAGGTGGCCCACAGGGCTGCAGGAGGCGGGCCCACTTTGCAAAACATTTAATCAGAATAAATAGAGTCACAGGCAGGCCAGTGTGATCCCAGGTCGGCGTCTGTGCCTGCAGGGCCGTGGGAACCAAGGGTGACACAGGATGAGCTGGTGAGCAAAGGCAGGGCCGCCAGGCCTGTCAGCCCCATCGCTGTCCTACCGGGCGTCTTGATCACCTGTGAGCAGATTCAGGGGCATCGCAGCCTCCTGGGTTCGACCAGCCCTGCCAGAAAGGGAAGTCAGCGAGGGCAGCACGTCGCCCACACGGGAGGCTGAGGACCCCAACGGTCGTCCCTCGATCCGGGCCGAGGCCAGACGCCCAGCAGCCTTCCTCAGGAGCCACAGTCAGGCTTCCAGGAGTCCAGGGAGAAGGCTGGACGGAGGCCAGGAGGAGCCCCGGGCCTCGGGGGGGGGCGGTGTTTTCGCCTGTCTGTCTGTCTGTCTGTCTGTCCAGGGAGCAGAAAGACGTCCGCACTTGCCTTCCTCACCCTGGGCTTAACCGCAGCGACCGAGTTAAGGGGTGAGAAGCGATTCCCCGCGGGCCTGGGGCGGCCACGGCCGAGTGGTATTGTGGGGCTGTTCACCCCTTGGGAAGAAGGGGGAGCATGGAGGTGAGAAGGACCAGCCGGGCTGGTCCCCGACTTATACAGAAAGAAGGGCAGAGAGGCGAGGAGGGAAGGCCATGAGCGGCCATGAGACCCGGCCAGGCCGAAGCCTTTCCATGACTGTTGTGTCCTTCCCCCCCGAATTAGCCATTGTCCCCCCCGCAAAGGCCCCACACACCTGAGGGGGGAAGGCGGGAAAGCGGGGCAGGGGCATTCCGAGAGGCTGAGGGCCACCCACCCCCAACTCCACACAAAACCCGGGGGGAGGAACCCCAGTGTCCAGCCCCTGGTCCTCCTCCATCCACACCTGTCCACGGAGTGACCACGACCCCTCACCTGCCCCTGTCCTTCCTCTCGTAGACAGAGTGAAGCTGGTTGATTAAGAAGATTTTGTCTTCCCCTTCCTAGAAACACCAGAACACACAGGATATGAGCATAGACATTGTCCATCTGTCTGTCCATCCAGAACCGCCCTGTTCCGGAATGCACTTGGGGGAGCTCACACGTATTCAACATCACGAGCACAAAAAGTTTAAAGAAGGGGCGAAGAGGTGTGGAAGCAAGGACAAGGAAAACCCAGGTGGCGCAGTGGGCATATGTACGCATCTGTGCTCCCCAGTGGCCAAGGGGAAAAGGGAAATGCGCCCGCCGGCACGGCCAGGGCCCCAGAGCCAGGCTCGCTCATTTGAAAACGGGCCCTGCTGCTTGCTGACTCTGCCTTGGACAGATCACCTCCTCGCTAACCTCAGACACATCGTGGATAAATGGAGGATAAAAATCTATCACAGGGCTGGCCGGGCAGCCTCTCGGAGTGGGGCCTCCAGAACCAGCTTCGGACCAGCAGAGGTCCGGGGCTCCCAGGCCCACCGGCCCACCCGCCCCTCCGTCATCCACGACAAACTGCAGCACACCTCGGAAAAACGTGTCCAGTCCCCTCCCGCTTCAACCTTCCTCTACCTGTTTGCAAAGTGAGGGCACTGAACAGGGTTCGTGTTCTGACCTGGGTGCCCCAGGCAGCCCAAAAGCCGCTTCGTAGCTCAAAAATCCTCACGAGACCTTCCGCGCTCACGCAGGGCCATGCACCCCAAAATGCCACGTTTCCCCACTGGGGCCCCATCCTACCGGCCCCCGGGAAGCCTGGCGGCCTCATGCAACCTCTGGGCTTACCACTAACCACGGGAACGAGACACGTTAACTGATGTGACTCGCTCGGCAAACAAACCCTTTCGACAGCCCAGGCGCAAGGGGCGGGAGGAGGTGTGGGGGGCGCTCCGGGGTGAGCCAGCAGGCGGCCCCCGGAGGGTGGAGGCTGCGAGCGGGGCACTCACGTTGCTGATCTGCTCCTTGAGGAGGCAGATGACCTTCCGCTGGCCCTTGACCACCTGGATGTTGAGGTAGATCACTGCCCTGCGGGAGACAGGCGGTCACGGCTGGGCCCTGCAGGAGCGGGGGGAGGGGACGGCGGGCCGGGGGCCGTGCGGGCTGGTCCTCCAGAGCCCCGCCGGATCCACTCACAGCAGCAGGGCCGACACCAGGTAGATGGGGAAAGTATTCTCCACCAGGTATCGGTGGACCCAGGGCAGCCAGGAGACTCTGGGGCCGGCCTTCTCCAGGCGTCGCACCCACACCTTGCCGGCCTCATACATGGTGTCCAGGGTCCGGAAGGGGCCGCAGAGGCTCGAGGGCTTCACCCTGCGGGAAGAGGCAGCCTCCACATTACCCCACACCTCGGCCGCCGGCCTCAGCCCTACCTAGACCCCTCCGGGCGGCCCCTCCCCGAATCCTGGGGCGAATCCACCCTGCCCCCAGAAGCCAGCGCCCACTCACTGCCAGACGGCGTAGCAGAGGAAGATGGCGGCGCCCAGGAAGGAGGGGAAGCAGAGCAGCGAGATGAAGACGGTGCTCATGTGGCAGGCCAGCCAGGGCCGGCGGGGCGCCTGGCAGTTGGCCATCAGGCTCATCTGGGGACAAAGGCTCTGCTCTGCCACTGCCCTGCCACACCCCACTTCCCAGTCTTGGTGTGGCCCCCATGAGGGAGGAGAGGGGAGGCTGGGCGGGGCCTGAGTGGAGACCCCAGGACAGGATGGGGCTCCCCCACCACAGGACAGGGGCAGACGGGAAGAGGCAGGCAGGCGCTCTTAGTACCTGAGCTCAAAGGTTGGACAGACAGCTAGGCCGAGGCCTGGTTTACAGAGGGGAGACCGAGGCACACAGGGAAGGGTCACTCAGAGGGGTTGGGACTGACAGGGTCCAGGGTCACTCAGAGGGGCTGGTACTGACAGCCACCTCCACTGACGGAGGTCTTTGCTAGGCCAGGCACTGTGCTCAGCGCTTTACAAATGCCATCTCTGGCCATTTCCTCTGGGGCACTGTCCCCATTGTGGAAACGAGGGAATGGAGGGCCAGGGAGATAAGCCTGGTTCTCACCACCGGGCACCCCGACTGAGGACAGAGGACCAGGGGCACTTCCCACGGCTGGAGGGCCTGAGGCCCAGAGTGTCTCCCAGGTCCCCAGCCCCAAGCCCAGCACACGGGCAACCAGGAACGACAACTGACCCAGCGGGATGATCTGGGGTCAGGGGTCTGACCCCAGAGGGAGGCCCTGGGCTGCCAGCCCCATGCCACTCGGGCCAAGTCCCTGGGCTCCAGGTCTGCCAGCTGAGTGGCCCACCCGGGCTGCCCACACCCCCCAGGCGCCCAAGGCCCCGCTGCCCTCACGGGGCCCAGCGGGCACCTTACCTTCTTGACGTAGAAAAGCAGCAGCAGCTTGATGATCTGCATGGCGGGGAGCAGGGGCGAGAAGAGAACCCCCAGCCTGGGGGACGGTGGAGAGGGGGTGGCTGCAGTCCAGAGGTGGGGTCATGACCCCCGTGCGGCTCTGCGCCCCGCGGAGGGAGCTGCCCCGCGCCCGCCGCTCTGCACCCAAGGGCCAGGCTGGGTTCGGGTACGGCAAGTGTGGCCGTGGGCTGGGTGCCCCGGGAAAGGAGGGGTCAGGGCCCAGCCGCCCCAGGACCCCAGGGCTGGGCTTCGCTAGGGTCCCACGGCGGGGTGGGGACAGTGGAAGATGCTCACCAGGTTAGGGTCTGCCCGTAAATCAGTTCCAGAACATTCCGGGCGATGTCAAACTCAGGCTTCCCCCTCCTGAGTTGCTTCTCAGAGATGAGCCTGGGGCAGAGGAGCCTGAGTCACTCAGGAGGGCTGGTCCCGGAGAGCCACCCGGTCCCTAACCCCAGAAGGCAGGCACCCTCCGAGGGCGGCCCGCATGCCAGGCTCACGTCCCTGCCCACCCCACATCGGGCGCCCAGCCGATGTTGGGGGTGGGGGGGCCCGTTCTCTAAGCACGCACAGATACACCCAGGTGTAAACACACTCTGCACTTTAAAAACCTACATTGTTAAATCCACGTCCTCCAAGGAAACACAAAAAGGAAATAAAAAGCGCCTGCACCGCTGGCACCCAGAGGGGCTGCATGTACCTGTTCCTTTCTCCCGCCCTCCGACCTGCCTTCCTCCCGCCTAAAAATAGGTTACATCCTGTCCCATGTTTTCCTCGTGACCTTTTTTGATCTTTTGATCGTAATGATCTTTTGCAAACGCTGCTGTGGGTGGAGATTTACAGCTGAAAACCCTCCCAGGTGGCCTCCCCTGCCACACGAGTGAGGATGCTCTGAGCCCTTCTGAGGGAGGGAGGGCCCAGGTGCCCCGGAGGTGAGGGCAGGGCAGGGCACGCGCTCCCAGAGGGCCTCACCTCCACACCAGCTCGCCGAAGAGCGTGTCCAGCAGCGCGAAGAGGAAGTCCATCACCATGAGCCGGTACAGCTCCTGGCCCACGAAGTTCTCCCAACACTGACGCAGACCAGGCTTCAGCCCCTGCCCCCCACGCCCCCACCCACCCTGCTCGCCCGGCCCACCCCGGGGCCTCCAATCGGCCTGCAGGCCAGATGAAGTCAGGCGAGGCTGGCATGGGAGACTGCTGTGAGGGTCACCCCGCACCCACACCCCGGGACCAGGACGGCCTCCCCCAGCACCATCCAGGCCTCCCTCACCTGGTCCTTCAGGGTGCCCACCCGGCGGCCCAGCCAGTGGTAGCAAAGAATCCCCAAGATGACCATTTTGAGGATGAGGTTCCTGTGGAAGGCGGGGGCATGGAGGCTGAGAAAGGGGTGCCTTGGGGACAGAGGATGCACTCCAGGAAGCCCCCCGCCAGCCCCGCCCAGCCACACACCTGCAGATGGCCACATACACCTCCAGCACTGGGGACTCGTGCCGCTCCAGGGCGGCCAGGCAGCGGTACAGGTAGGGAGCCCCCAGGTTGAGGAGGCAGACCACCAGGGGCAGAGCCAGCTGCGCCCCCTCACGCTCGGCAGACACCGGGCTCTATTAGGGTGAGGGAGGGGCAGCGGTCACCACACACCCCCAGTCACAGGGCCAGGGCCAGGGCCACCGCTGGGGCCTGGAGGTGGGAGGGGGCCGTGGGGAGGAGTCCCAGAGCGGAAGGAGGGGGCGGAACTGGCAGGCAGCACCTCCCTCCCCCAAGATACATCCACCCCAGGCTTCAAGTTCAAACCACACAGGAAGGGGGCGGGGTGGGCCACAGGTGTCACAAAACGGAGAGGGAAACAGAGAAAAAAAGAACAGGGGAGAGTGTGAGACAGACGGAGGGGGGACAAAGAACTGGGCCCCCCGAGGGGCACTGGGACCCTGGCTCCCAGGCCCGTGCAGCGGGCGGGGCCGCAGCCCACTTCCCCGGGCGGCGCCCGGTCATGGGGGTCACTGGGGGCCCATTCTAACCAAGCGGGAGTCCGAACCCCCAGGCTGCCCGCCTCAGCCCCTCACCTCGATCATGAGCTCAGAGAAGGCGTAGACAGCCACCGTGCAGCCGAACGTGATGCCCAGGCACAGCAGCCACACGCCCACCAGCACGGCCACCTGCCGCAGCCGCCCACACACGCTCCGAGAGCCCTGCCGCAGCTGCCACTCGGCCAGCAGCTCCTGTGGGGACGGTGACCGTCACTGTGCAGCCCAGCCCCACGCAGACGTGCAAACTCACGGACACAGAGCAGACACACAGGGAGGCTTGGGGGGACCGAGGAGTGGCCTCCCGCCCGCCCCAGTGCCACTGCCTGTCCCTGTGCCAGCTCTGGAGCCCTGTCTCCAGGCACAGAGCGAGCACAGGACCGGGACCCAAGGCCGCGCGTCCTGCCCTCCATCCCCACCAGCCCGCAGCTGTGTCTGCAGCCTGAGGCCAACGCCAGCCTCCCCTACCCGCCCCCTCCCAGCCCAGCCTCCCGACCAGGACCCCCAAGGCTCCCCGGGAGCTCCCTGAGGCAGCCTCCCCCGCCACACGCGTCGAACCCGGGGAAGGCAGGGGACTTTGCAGGAGGCCCGGCTCAGCCACCCGGCCGTCCCGCGGCCTCGGGTGAGCGCCTGGGCGTCTGAGCCTCGGCCCCGTCGCTTGCAGCGGGAGTTTAACAGCCGCTACCAGGGCAACTGTGGCCAGTGGGAGGGGGCGCCAGCTGGAGCCCCTGGGGCCTGATACCGCTGGGGGACCAGAGGACACGGGGACTCCCGAACCCAGCCCTCTCTGGCTGTTCGGTTCTCGGTGGACCCGGGGCCAGGACGGTGGGGGCCGAGCAGGCCCAGCTGCTGTGCCGGCGACTCAGGCCGGGCTGGCTCACCTTCAGGTGGGTTCTGATGTTGTCGTGCTGTAGGCGGGAGGCCCACTTCTGGGTCACCTTGTGGTCCCAGGAGCAGAAAACGGTGATGGCGTGGGCCCCCAAGGTGCTGCCCACCCGGTAGCTCTCCCCAAAAGAGCGGGACATGCTGTGAGGAACGGAGCCAGGTGGGGTGATGACGTCGGGGGTGAGGCGCAGAGGCCGGGGAGAAGACGCAGGGACTCTCTGCAGCCGCAACCCCGTGCCTCCCAGGAGACGCCCTGGCGCTGCTCAGCCCACTACCGTGCCCCATGCCTCTCCTCCGGCCCAGCTCTCGGCCTCCTGGTGTGGACCACTGGCCACTCTAGATCAGCCCTGTCCAATATGGTGCCCGGCAGCCACAAGTGGCTATAAGAGTGGCCACCGACATGGCCAGCGGCCTCCCACCCAGACATGGCTGCAGAAGATGCTGGCTCAGCTCAGGGCCTTTGCACTGCCTCTCCTGATAACCAAAGAACCTTCCTCTCCTTCTCTGCCCATCCTCATTTAAGCTCCCACTCTGGGCACGGGCCACCTCTCCTGAAAGGCAGCCTGACTCCGCCCCCGTGCTCCGTAATACCTGGGCAACCACCCAGGGCTGCTGGGTCTCCCCAGCCTCCTCACTGTCTGTCTGCTCCCCTAGACAGCCAGCTCCTCAAGGACAGGCATGATGCTCATCCACCTTCCTGCCCTGAGCTGAGCACAGCAAATGTCTGTGGGTGGATGGGAGGACAGAAGGAAGGAAGGAAGGAAGGAAGGAAGGAAGGATCGATCTAATGCATGGATGGTTGAATAAATGGTGGATAGATGAATGAATAGGCAGCTGGATGGATGGATCGATAGATGGGTAAAGTGATGGATGGATGGATGGATGGATGGATGGATGGATGGATGGATGGATGGATGGATGGATGGATAGATGGGTAGAGTGATGGATGAATGGATGGATGGATGGGTGGGTGGATGGGAGGACGGATGGCGTGATGGGTGGAGTGATGGACGGGCGGATGGATCAGTGGTGCTCAGCGTCAGGGTCACATGGGGGAATGGCCCTTACCTGTACACCAGGGTGATGCAGGTGATAAAGAAAGCTACGCCCACGGTGAAGAGGTAGGCCAGGGGCATGTTATAGGGCAGACCACCCTCCTCGGGGGCGCACTGGCCACCGTCGGGCGGAGGGGTGCACAGCTGGTTCAGCGTGGCGTTGCTATAGTAGCCGTAGTACATGACGGTGTCGGTGAAGCGGCCCTGCGAGGGGAGGCCCAGCCTGGTCAGGGACCCTCCCTCCCGCCCCTGAGCCCCCGTCAGGCCGTGGGGGAGGGCCAGGGCGGGGGCAGTGAGGATGACACAGGTAGACAAAGGGCCTTGGCCCTCCCGGGGTCCCACGGACATCAGGAGAGCTGACTGTAGCACAGCACGGGGCAGGGACAGGGTCTCCCTGGGGAGGCTGGGACAAGAGGGTGCCCACCCCGCCCGATGCCCCCGCCCCCGGCCGGGCCGCACCCCGCCCGTGAGCAGCTCCAGGCCGGTGAAGGCGCGGACAGAGCCGGGGCGCGCCGGCGGGAAGGCGGCCTGCACGCCCACGATGAAGGCCAGCAGCGGCAGCAGCAGGAGCGCGTTGAAGGCCAGCAGGGTCTTGAGGAAGAGGAAGTAGGACAGCACGCTGGAGCCGAACTGGCCGCCGATGCGCTTCAGGGCGTAGCGCCACGGCGCCAGGGCCTGCAGCCCCGCCAGCAGCCCCAGCCCCAGGTCGCGCCCGGCCTGTGGGGACAGGGACGGGAAGGTCCTGCGGGTGAGGCCCATGGGGGGTGCCCCGAGCAGGCACCCCCGAGCCTAGCATGCAGGTGCAGGGCGCAGTGGCGGGGGCGCGGCTAGGCGAAGGGGGCATTCGCGGCCCCAGACCTAGGCCAAAGGCTAGGGGACCCCACGAGCAGGAGAGTAGAGGAAAGAAGGGGGCCACCCCCCACCTCAGCCCAAAGTGGGGCGCCTACCAGGACACAGGCATATCGGAGCCGGCTGTAGCAGGAAAGGCGCCCGCGACGGCCGTGCTGGCCCCTCCGCTTCCCCCTCAGGGTCAAGGTCTCCTCCCTGCGGGGCGGAGGCAGCATCAGGGCTGGACCAGGGGGGTGCCCAGCCCTGTGAGACCACCCCACAAGCTCAGGGCCGTTCTCGCCCACCGCCCAACCCAGGAGGGGTGGGTCTCAGGGCCACCAAGGCTGGCGGGCACTGACCGCAGGCAGCGTTTCTCGGCCAGGCTCAGGGGCATCCCCCGGAGCATGTGGTCCCGCTGGGCCACCGTCAGGCCCTGCAGCTCCTTCACCAGGAGGACCCGCTTCTCTGCAGAAGGACAAAGCAGCCATCGGGTCCTTGCAGCCTCCCTCCACTACGGCCAGACCCTGGACCCCACTGTGACCCCGCACGGGCCGGCCACTGCCCCACCCCAGCACTGGCCTCCGCCTGCCCTGCCAGGCCCAGGCGGCTCCACTGTGCCCAGGCCACCAAGGCCAGATGCCCTGTCTCACACCCCGGCCAGCTGTCCTCCCGCACCTCCAGCCCCAAACCAGCCCCACCGACTTCCCAGCACCCTCCCGACACCCCCGCTCCTACACCCACACTCTGCTCCTGGGCCCCCACAAGCACCTTGCTCCGACCCCCCGTGACCTGAGCCCTGCCCGCCCTTGCTCAGCAGAGATGGGGCCTCAGCCTCACCCCGTCCCCACCCCACTTCCCACCATCCAGCCCTTGTGGGGTGAGTGTGGAAGGGCAGGACATGGGGGTGCTGGGTGAAAACCGAGGTGCTCACTCTCACCTCTTTTCATCTTTATGGCCACCCTGAGGGGGGCGAGCTGCTTCAACCCCAGTTTCACAGATAAGAAATGACACCCAGAAGCTGACACCCGGCCCAGCTTATAGAGTAACTCTAGGACATTCACCCTGATCCCAGAGGCCATGCTACCCTGCACTGCTCCGTCCCCCAGCAGCTGAGGGCCTTGGGCAAACTGGGGGTGGGGTAACAGAGGCAGGACCCCAAGAAAGTACACAGACTGGGGAGGCCAGAGTCCAAAGGGCATAGCCAGGAGGGGCGTGTCAGAGACTGCCTAAGCCAACCTATGAGACCAGGCCCTTCTCTCTCCCTCAACCTCTCTCCCTGCTCCCCGGCCCCCCAACACTGGCCTCCATGTGGCCCAGAAAACCCAGGCATGCTCCCACCTCAGGACCTTTGCCCATACGCCATCGGCTCTAGTGGCACTTCCTCCAGGAAGCCTCCCTGGATCTCTCTAGGCTAGAGAGTCCCATGATGCTCTTCCTCAGTCGCCTTAATTTGGTCATTAATCATCCCCTTCTCTGTCTGTTTGGTTCCCGGCTATTTCACTGGGCAGACAATACGCTGCGTAAGCGCCCAAATGGGCCTGCCTACCACCACCACGCCCCAAGGCCGAGACCGTGGCATCGTGCAGTGCGTCGCTGCGTAAGCGCCCAAATGGGCCTGCCTACCACACCACGTCCCAAGGCCGAGACCGTGCAGTGCATGAACACACACTAATGAGCACCTGCGTGCCAGAGCCAAACCCTTTACGGCCCAAAAGGCCCCAGTGGCAGGGACACAAAGCCAGCCTTCCCCCGACCCCCCCCACCAAGGGACCTCCCCGCTGGGGGCCTCAGGCACCGGCTGGGGGTGGGTTCCGTGGGTCTGCTGCACCCCGGCCCCTCGTCCCGGCCAGCCCAACTGCCCCACAGACACTCCGGCGCCCGCCTGCTCACTCACCCTCCTCCTGCAGGGCTGTGGAGTCCAGCTCCAGGTCGTACAGCCGGAGGCTGGGCCGGGCCGAGCGCCCCAGGTCGGCCAGCTGAGGCCGGCTGCCCCTGTGCCGCAGCCTCACCGTGCGGTTGTAGTACTGGGAGATGATGGCGCCTCGGCTGCGGCCTGCAGAGCGGGAGCTGCCGGTCAGGGTGGCCCAGCCCCGCCTTCCCCCTCACCGGGAGGCAGCGGCTGCACCCCCTTCTCAGGACCTGGGGATGGTCCTTTCTAAGAGGCCGCAGACAGCACTGGGTCCCAAGAGGCCTATTTTTATCCCTGTGACCTGATGACCCTGGCGTTGTTTTTAGAACCCAGTGAGGCTGCACGGGCTGCACCGGGCCTCCCCTGGCTCAGAGGGACACAGACCACCCCCCCCGCCCCACCGAAACCCTGGCCCAGCCCACAGCCTGGGGCTGACACCAGGGCCAAGGACAGAGGGTCCCACTCACCGATGGTGCGACTGGGCATGCTGGCCAAGATGCGGAGCGTGGCCGTGCTGTGCACCACGGCACCCTCGGGCCCCAGCAGGGCCTGGTGGTCACTGCCTGCACAGCACAAAGATGTGTCCAGAGGTCCCAGGGACACGGCTGGCCAGCCATCTCCCCCACCCTGCCCCCATCCCTATCCCAGGCCTGCAGACTGCCGGGAAGGGCCTCCTGAGAGGCCGAGAAGGCTCGGTGCCCTGCCCGCAGCAGCCCAGCACCCAGCCTGGGACAGGCAGGCTCACCTGAGGCCTCCAGGGTGCCAGCCCCTGGCCCCCTGGGCTGCAGCTCCAGCCCCTCCTCCGCCACGCACTGGCTCTGCTCCTGGATGAGCTCGCGGAAGGAGTGGTGCATTTCACCCTCGTCCCAGAGGCTGGGAGAAACGGGGGCGGGAGTTCGGGCAGCAGCTGATCCAGTCCACTCCACCAGCCTGCCCTTCCACGAGGCCATGGCCCCACCATCCTCTCCCAGGGGTGCAAAACACCCCAGTCCTGCAACCCCCCAGCCCCAGAGCACTTACTCCGGGTCCTCCGGGGTCTCAGGGACATTGAGGACAAAGGCCGGTGGCTGGGCCATGTCCGCTGCCCACACCCAGCCGGTCTGCAGACCTGGAGCAGCTCAGAGCCGGGGCACAGGCAGCCTCCGAAGCCTCCTGATGCCCATCTGACGAGACAGGGAGCACTGCACCAGTCGGCCTCGTGCCTGGCACCCCATTAAACCGCCCTCTCCCTGGGGACCGTGGGAGGCGCCACTCACAGCCCAGGCTGCCTGAGCCCCACCCTGCCCCCCATCCATAGCCAAACACGCGGGCAGGTGAATGGCCCCAAATAAACCTCACGCCAGAACGGAGGGACCGGCAGCCCAGTGCCCAGGAAAGGATGACGGAGGGAGAGAAGTTAGGGAGTGGGGTCTGGGCAGTTCCCAAGGTCTGCTCGGTGGCGCCAGTGCCTGGGAAATTGGGAAGGGGTGGGGTACTGTGGACACAGCCTTCCGTCCCCAGGGTTCTGCCCCAGGGACTCCACCCTCTTGGCAAGAAAGGTCAAGGCAGCTCTGAGACCTTCCCTGTGTCCACTCTGTAACCTCAAGGCGGTGCTTCCTCTCACAGGAAATCCTCATCCCCCCGCCAACCAGGCCAGCAGAACGGGACGGCCGCCTCTCGCTGTGTCCCCACCCGGCATCCCAACACGCACACACAAAACGGTGGCTGCCGCCCGGTGCTGCAAGGTCCGGTTCTCAGCAGACTGAATCCTCTACATTCCACCGAGGCCGGGCAGGGCAGCGGGCTGGGGGGAGGGGCTGGGCACTGAACAGGCTGCCTTTGTCCAGCTTTGTCTGAGCAGAAGGCTCTGCCATTGTCACCCAGAACAACTGGAACGAGGGCGGCCTTGTCTGGTCTCTTCACCCCGTGAGAGTGGGGTGGGGCGGGGGTGCGGGTGACACTCCCCCAGCCACCAGCTGACCCTGCAGAGCCCTGTCCCAGTGCGGCTGGGGCCCAGCCCTTGGTCAGCCCTGTCCCGTCCTCTCTCCCTTCCCCCCAGGGAAGTCAGCACTCAGGAGACTTGGCTCAGCTCAAGGGGGCTTTCTTGGGTGAGGGTGGGGTGCCCAGACAGCAGGTCCTGCTGGGACTATGCCCAGACAGCGTCCTCGCTTAGGAGGGTCTGGCTGTCCAGTCTCTGAGCCCAGTCCACACGCGCTCCAAGACCCTCCCCCTCTCCAGCAGGAGGGCCGCGTGGGAACCGCGGAGAGATGGGGCCGCGGTGCGTTCTGCCCTCTGCCTGATCTGGGAAAGTGGCCGGAGGTGGGGCCGATGGCGCGTTCCCCAATCCTGTCCCTAGAGCTGCAGTCCCTTGGGACACTCCCTCCCAAACCTGGAACCACCCCTCTCCCAACGAGGAGGCGGGCAGGAGTGCGGATGGGAGGAGGAGGGCCCAGGAGCTCAGTGGCTACGGCCTGGGCTGCGGGCTGCCTTCCCTGGGGATGGGGGCTCGCCTGGGCCCACCTGGGCGCTGGCACCTGGGCACTGCCCAGGACTTACTTCCAGCTGCTACCTGGCGCCCTGGCACCCTACTCCAGGCTGGGGCAGGTCGGGTGAGTTTCTGGGGTGAGTTTCCTGAGCCCTAAGCCAGGTGGGAAGAGGCAGGGTGGGGCCCTTCCCGGGAACCCCGCCTCGGCCAGTAGCCAGTCTCCTGGGATCGGCTGCTGCCCAGGACAAGCCACGGCCCAGCCTCGTAGCCTAGGGGCTGCGGCGACTCTGGGAGCCCCTGGACCCCTGCCGGCCAGTCTCCCACCACCCCACTTGCTGTTAGTGGGACCGGCCTGGGAGACCCAGCCTCCCCGCCCCCACCCCTCCCGAGAGGCTCAAACCCCAGGACGTCCTGGAGAACCCGGGGAGGGTACTCACTGCCCAGTGGCACCGGGGGCCCAAAGGAATTCAGAGTGGGTGGAGCTGCCGGGCTGCAGAGAAAGGCTGGGGAGGACATGGCACCGCCCCCAGCCCCAGGCCCCTGCCCCGCCTGGAACAGCACCTAGATCCGGCTGCTTACCTGGGAGGCCCTGGGTAGGAGGGGCCCTGCGCGCCCTGGAGCAGCTCACTGGTCCCCGGAAAAGGCCATCGGGAACTGTGGTCTGGGCTCCACCACCTGGGGGAGGGACCTCGGGGTCAGGGAGAGGGAGTGACCAAGGGCCCAGGAGGTGACCTGTGAACTTGGCGGGCCAGGCGGGGCCAGAGGGAGGAGCTGCACTGCCCAGCCCGGCCCACACGGTGACGGGCCTCAAGCATCACATGATCTGGCTTGGCCCATGGGCGCACCCCATCTCTGCTCCCAAGCCCTCGGGTGACTGCGCCCTCTCCCTGCCAACTTTGACGCCTTCTCACACCCAAAAGGCCCGAGTGTCTAGGTCTCTTCCAATCCTCCGGTGAGACCCCCAATTTCTATGGGACTCAGTTTCCCCAAGTTTCAAATGGGACAATAATTACAGACCCGTCCGTTTCCCAGGGTGATTATGATAACGGGGTGCTGCCAAAGCCCACTGATACGGCGCCTTGCAACACCAGATTAGGTAATCCGTTCCTCCAGCTCGGCTGCCCACTGACAAACACGCCCCCAGGCCGGCCGTGCTCCCCCTCCCGATCTGGGCGTGGCTTCTGCGGCCAGCAGGCGGAGCTCTGGCACTTCCTGCGTGCTAGGTGGGGAGGGGAGGGCAAAATGGAAGAGACTGCCACTTTGTGCCTGTCCCTACTGCAGTTTTCTGCTGTTCCCCACAAGCCAGGGAGGTGGGCACGGAGGTCTCTAGTTCACGGGTGGGAGGAGGCCGTGAGGTCAAAGGGCCTCCAGCTGTCATCTGCCAGGGCGTGAGTCTTGTCCACCTGGTGACTCTGCTGAGAAGCCTGACTTCGAGAAAGCCTGGCAGAAGGCCAGAGGAGAGGCCCCCGTGGATCTGAGAAAGTGGGTCGGGAGAGCTTTCCTGGTTGGGAGGAGCCGTGCGAGGCGGGCAGGCTGAAAATGAACTGGAAGGCAGGACAGGAGAGGCCCGCAGGTGGGGAAACGGGTGGGCAAAGCCAGGAGGCCCCAGTGAGGACCCGTGATGCATGTCGCCGGGAAAGGGGTCCTGGGACTGCGGCTGGACGGAGAGGGAGGGGCCAGAGTTGAGGCTGTTTTGCAGCTGTCAGTGTGGGCCTCAGGTGGGTGGTCTCAGGCTGGCTCATGGCACCAGGCACCTCGGCATGGAGGCCCAGGCCCTGCCTCTCCTCCCGCCTGTTCATGGCCTCCAGGCATACCCATGCTCCAGCCTCCTCAGACTTGCATGACCCCAGGCCCAACGTGAAGGTCACCTCTCCCGGGGAGCCTTCCTGGATTGAGCCCTGTTGGAGCACTTACCATGTACACTTGCCCGCCTGTCCCCACTCCCCCAACTCTCTGAGCCCACGGCGTGCCCAGCAGCAGCCCCCAGCTCGGGGCCTGGCACAGAGGAGGGCCCTGGAAACCAGACGCGGGGCCAGGAAGGGGGGTAGGAAAGCCACTGGAGCTCAGCCATTAGGTGACCCTGACCTGAGGACAAAGGCAGGCCCTGGCGGCCTCCCAGGGGTCCCAGGAGAAATGGCGGAGATGACTGACTCCTACACGTCTTAACTGGGCCGGCGTGGATGGAGTCCACCCCTCAGTCCACCCCTCAGCGCTATGCCTGGGCCTTTGTCACCGGCCAAGGCGGGAAGTTAAGAAATAACTCAGCCCGATGAGATGGCACCCACCCATTAAGTTACTATCGCGCCCTCCCAGCAGAGCCAGGGCCACCGGCAACCGGCAGATAAAGGGCCAGGGCCAGGGCCAGGGCCCCGCGGCCCCGCGGGGTCAGGCTCCGGCCTGGGGAAGGGGGCGGGCCCGGGCCGGCGCGCGCTCGCAGCCCCGACTCGGGGCACCGAACTGCCACCGCGCGGCCCCTGGGGGCTGCGAAGCAGCAACCGCAGGAGCCGGCCCGAGCCCCGCGCGGCCCACCGGGGTCCCACACGGGGAGGGGAAGGGCCGACCCCCGGCCGGGGGGCAGCGGGGAGGCTGAGCTGCGCGCACCTCACCTGCCCGCCTTCGCCCCACGCTCCACGCTCGCAGGAAGTGCGGGCTCGGTGGAGGGAGAGCGGAGGAAGCTGCCAGAGGTGGGGGCAGAGGAGTGGAACCGGAGGAGACCGCGGGGCGGGGGAAGCTGGGGTTCCTGTCATGTGACCCCTCCTCTCTGCTCCCTCACAGCCCTGCCTGGAGTAAGGGAGCGGGTTGCAGAGGGTCTCCTCCCGGCGCTTGTTCCCTTGTCCCCAGGTGAGCGGGGTGCAGAGTGGGGGGAAGAGGCAGAGCGTGAGGGGATCGGAGACAGACTTGAGGCCGAGGGGTCCCTTCGTCCACTTCCCAGGGCCTGGGCTGTAGCCGCGCCTCTTGGTCTGGGGTCCCCTGGCCGGGCGCCGCGAACCCAATGCTGAGGGCCAGACCACAAGATAGAAAACAGAAGGGGGTCCCAGCACCCCCAGACGCGGGGCGCTGCGGGAGGCCAGAGCCTAGGAACTGTGGGTTCCGGACAGGGAGCCGTCCGAAGGGAGAATCGGCCGCAGAAAAGAGCGAGGACTGTCTGTGGCGGAAGGGTGACTGGAAGGCCTGGCCCACAGGTGGCAGGTGGGGGTGGGACGAAGCAAGCCTTGGGCCCTGGGTGCCTCGGCTTTGGCTGTGAGGGAGGGACCCATCTTTCCGCGACCTCTGGACTCCACCCCCATTTTACAGATGGGGAGGCTGAGGCCCCTGGCCACGTGTTACTTTGGGAGATGGATGAGGACTGAGGTCAGATCTTTCTCTTCGCTTCCGGGCGTGCCAGGGCCAAGACCTTGAGGCTCGCCCAGCAGGCGCCCCGCAGCCCCCGCCCCCCAGCAGAGATGCTGCGGCAGTGGTCGGTGCAGTCCGGGCAGGCCCCGGGGGAGCCGGGGGAGCCGGCGGGCGAGGAGCTGTGGGAGTCGGAGATGGAGCGGCTGTGCTCCTCCCAGGCGCCCGTGCGCACGCTGCCCTACGCCATGGTGGACAGGCGCTTCCTCCGGTGGGTGCCCGGGCGCCGGCCCCGGCCCAGGCCGCGGTGGGGATGGGGGAGCGCTGCAAGGATGCGCCAGTTGGATGGGGGGCGGAAGACTCAGCCTGGCGGGTGGGCATGGTGGGTGACTCAGGGGCGCCCCCATCGCCACCCCATCCCAGGCAGCTGCGGGAGCCCGAGGGGGTGAAGACCCCATACTGGCGGCGGTGGCGGCGAAGGGGGCGGACTGCAAAACGGAGCCTGGAGGAGACGGCGCAGCAGCTAGCCCAGGGCTTTGGGCTCTGGGAGGGGGCGCTCTACGAGATCGGGGGTAGGACCTGCACCCCAGCTCCCACCTCCCCTCTCTGGGCTCTCAATGTCCTGTTTAGAATAAAGAGGAGGGCATCATCCCGCTTGCCATTG